TTCATTATTCAGCCAGATCTAACTTTTGGATTTACATCGACTAAACAAACTTAATGACAATCACTTAAATTACCATTTATTGTCAAAGTTAATCAACAAGGAATACCCACCGTTCTGAGATTCCTGCTGCAAGTTTTGACAATTTATGCATAACTATTTTTGTTACAGTGTGGCACTCTAGTGTTCAACAGATTTGCTGATATTTATTGGAGCTAGACATCAATTGTATAGCCAGTGTTCAGAGCCGTGGATTTCCTAGATCGTTATTGACTCTCTTTAGCTCTAACAAAATATTCAAGACGTGCAGTCAACTCGTCATCGAACCATGGCTTGGTTTTCTTCTTCACCGTTTGGTCTGTTCGTTTGTATCCAGACTCTAAGTATCTGTGTCGTCTATAGTCGTAGTAACAGTACCAAACCACCACAGCCTTTGCCAGCGATTTTACCCAATGTAGGCAGCATTGATAAACATGAACTATACAAGCAAGAGCAAGAAACTAAACAGTTAAGACCTGCTGGTGTGCACTATTCAAAGTATAGAAGCAAACGAGATTCCGGTGAGGTAGACGATGAGATTTATTCAAATAAGCGACTCAGGGACTTTGTTGGTAAACGTTCTGATTCCCAACTGTATCAAGTATCACCTCAACTGAATTTACCTGAGGACGATACACATTCCTTGGAAGGCTTCATGGATATCTCTGGGGAATTCCCTTTTAGAGGTGGTACTTTAGATGACAGGGTCAACGACGTTGCTGAAACATTCTGGATTCCAAAAGAAGACAACAAGCGGCTAAGGGATTTCGTTGGAAAGCGATCAATGAGTGTGACTACGCATGTCTTGAATCCTTACGTCAAGCGATTGAGGGATTTTGTTGGTAAGAGGGACTTTCATGCGGTGAAAAGACTGAGAGATTTTGTAGGAAAACGTGCACCCAGTTTTCATGGAGAAAGATTCAACGCTATTGATGAAAATGACATTGAAAACGAAAAGCGACTGAGGGATTTTGTAGGAAAAAGAACTTATCCTGAACACATATTGCCAGAGGAAATTTCGGACGATGAAAATCATAGATATATTAACCTTCTCGAAAAACGACCGCGAGAATTTGTGGGAAAGCGCAGTGCAATAGCTGATTATTCTAATAAACGACGCAGAGATTTTGTTGGCAAACGAATGTCTTATTCTCTTATTTTGCCCTCTACAAATTTTGAGAAACGCAGTCGCGAGTTTGTTGGTAAACGGGATGTGTCTGATATGATCAATACTAATGAACACGCTTTGCAATTTGGTGGTTACAGAAACAATGCAGGGATGCATAATGTGAAAAAAAGAATACGAGAATTCATTGGAAAACGAGATGTAAAACACGCCAGAGAACTTCTTGGGAAAGGATCTATGAGCTTAGGCGGGGATGATAGAATAGATGTGCAGAAGAAGCTTAGAGACTTTGTTGGGAAGAAATCTTTGGATGGAGATTTTGAAGAAGAAAAGAGATTACGAGATTTTGTTGGGAAAAGAACAATCGCTGGAGAATTCGAAGAAGACAAAAGATTACGAGACTTTGTTGGAAAGAGATTTGTGCACGGATATTTTGAAGAAGAAAAGAGATTACGAGATTTTGTTGGGAAAAGAACAGTTGACGAAGAGTTTAATGAAGATAAGAGATTACGAGACTTTGTAGGAAAAAGAACTGTTGACAGAGATATGGAAGAAAATAAGAGATTACGAGATTTTGTGGGGAAAAGAAAGTTAGATGGAGAATTCCAAGAAGAAAAGCGATTAAGAGACTTTGTCGGGAAAAGAATTGTCGATGGAGAAATTGAGGAAGATAAAAGATTACGAGATTTCGTCGGAAAAAGAACTGTCGACGAAGAAATTGAAGAAGGAAAGAGGTTAAGAGACTTTATCGGGAAAAGAACAGCTGACGGAGAATTCCAAGAAAATAAGAGATTACGAGACTTTGTTGGGAAAAGAACGGCGGCAGAAGATTTTGAAGAAGACAAGAGATTACGAGATTTTGTGGGGAAAAGAATTGTCCTCAACGAATTGAATGAAGATAAAAGATTGAGAGACTTTGTAGGGAAAAGAACAGTCGATAAAAATTTGAAAGAAAAGAGATTACGAGATTTTGTTGGAAAGAGAACAGACGGTGGAAAATTCCAAGAAATTAAGAGATTACGAGATTTTGTTGGAAAACGATTTCTTAATGGGGAAATTAACGCAAGCAAACGATTGCGAGACTTTGTTGGAAAAAGATCTGTTAAAGATAAGAGATTACGAGATTTTATTGGGAAACGGTCGGCAGATGGAGAATTTGCAGAAGATAAAAGATTACGTGACTTTGTTGGTAAAAGATCACAGTTGGAAAACGAATCTTCAGAATCTCTATCCGTTTTGAAAAGACTGCGTGACTTCGTAGGTAAAAGGGTAACTTATGGTGGAGCCAGCTATCCAGTTAATGTGAAACGAATTAGAGAGTTTATAGGTAGAAGGTGATAGTCTTGTTCTTCCTCTTTGGAAAGCTCTTTTTTAAAACATCTTTACAGTGAAGCGTTTTCCTTTTATTTGGTATATTTAGAACAGCGGTATTACTAAAATCTGCCAATAGTATCACAAAAATGTGTGGGATAAGAACGGTATGAGGGGGGTGATTTGCCAGTTGCCACGCCCTCGTAAGATTTTGCTTATGCATTACGATACAACTGAGTAATAACCAGTATCTAACTACAGCAAGAATAAAGACTATACAGAAATCAAGCCATGGATAACTGATTAATTATTTGACGTTTTGGATGCTTTGCACTTTGATACTCAGTCAAGATTCTAAACCTTTGTATTGTAACTCACCTTCTGTAATCACTATCATCTAAATTAATGACAATACATTTTTCGCAAAAGCTTTGAGTGATGTGCTGATCGATAAATTAAAAGAAGTTGGTGTATGGTTTTCAAACATGTTGTCCAGTCTTGTTATGTCATCATCTTTATAATTTGATAAAATCACCACTAATTGTTGGTATAATGAGGGCTAATAGACTGCGATGATTTGGGCAAATATACAGAACGGCAGATAACAGCTAGACGAAAACTACGTACACACATGAGTTGGGTTGGATTAGCACACGAGATGGACCAAGAAGGTGGTGGGGAGACAATATGAGGGATAGTAAATAAATGCCTCCTATGTTTCCTCTGTGTAATTACTGTATCGGTGCGCTATTGGTAAAGTTAGCAGGGCTCCTTAAACACTCTTGTCCACTGTACAGCATTACAAACCTGTTTCAGTAGTAGGTGGCACCGGTGTAACGGTTTAAAAATGGCGTTCAAAGATGTTTCTCAGTGCAAGACACCAGTTTGCATCCACGAACATTTGAAGATCGTTTACGGATATTCAACAGTCGATGTTAGCACTTTGCGACATTGGGTACATTGTTTGTACAAAGTTGAAGCAGGTCAGTTCCACATGGCTGACGCAAAGCGAACTAGTCGTCCGTCTACTGCAGTTACTCCACACAACATTCAACGAGTTGGGGACATCATTAGTGCTGATCGTCGGGAAATACTGAATGAACTGATGGTTTGGACACCGCCTTTACTAACTAACAGCATGGAATAACACTTCATCCAGTGTTTCCCGATAGTGATTTTTTTTTAAATTCACACAGATACAGTATTTACATAGATTAAAAAATAGGAGGCATTACTTTTTGCCCGTTCATTGTTAACGGCAGGTCAACAAACACTTGGGAGTCACCAAGAAGAAATGGAGGTAGTGAACCTCAAGGGCTCGGAATCTTTAAGAAAAAAGAAGTCTTCTGGATTGGATTCTGATGGGACGATTCTTTATCCTATTTTATCTTTCTTCGGAACCTCAGTTAGCAAACCGGCTCCCTGCAGAGCTACGAACTTGACACAAGGTGTTGAATTTGAACTTGGCTCCCGGATCGGCCAAGTTTAAGGAGGGTACATAAAGCAAATAAAAAAAACGTGAATGCTAGTCTACACTAGAACAGGTAAGCCTTTTATAGAGTACACCCTAATATCATGTGCTGAAGCAGCGAAAACAAACTTGAGAAACATGTACGGGTTCAAAATATGAGCTCATGAATAATACAGGGAGCAATGATATGCACCCCCGTAGACAATACAAACTCTTTACCTAATTTGAAAAGCTAAAGAGGCTTCCAAACTATTTGCTGAACCATAGATTCTAAGTGGAAAAAAATCCATTTAAAAAACAATATAAATAATTTTGCAAAAGAAACGTTGACACAAAAAGCAAATATTTAAAATCTAACATACATATTGATGTGTGAAACTCTCTTACAATAAATGTAGTTTAACTGCTGGCCATTCTTATCCAGTACGATTCTGGAAGTCCCATAAATAATCTCCAAAAAAATATCATACTCAGAATAAAGAGCATTTTCATTTTATATATTTATTAATTAGTATCCCTCCAATATTTAGACACAAATATTTACAGAAAGTTTTGATTAAGAAGCCACACGCACAACACGCGCGCACACACACACGCACACACACAAAGCAGATTAACGAATCTAGATTACACCTACAAACTGAAACACAGAGACAGACTCCATATCGGCATGAGAGACTTTCACCAACTTCAGAACAAGAGCAGCAATTTTTTTTGATCTGAACAGTCTGTCAGTTTAACTCCATCTCTTTCTCTCTTTAAACACAGAAACTTTAGGTCGTCAGACAAGAGTTAAATTAATTTGTCTCCACATTTCCCGACAAAGTTATAAGGTATGTGTTCTTTAACTCTCTCGTCTATTTGGCTTGTACTGAATAAAAGGCTGTCATATTTACATAAGTAAAATTAGTCACCCAGGCTATCCCACGCTTTACACAGGACAGCATCAGCTTTGATTTTGGGTCACCCAAGCCGGACAAGTCATTGGTGAGGGGCCAGACTAAAGATGGTCTCCTGGTCCTCCAGGCTCGGGAGTTGGGCGTTAGGCGCAGTGTAAAACAGCTCTGCCTTGTTTAAAAAGAAAAACCACTAAGTTACTGAAACTTCAAGAGGAAAAAAGTGCTCTTAACGTCCAGCGGTCTTGGGACAGAGTCCCTCTGTCAGCATGAACAGCATGGGAGAAAGCCGAAAGGAAGCCTATGATGGGAAAACAAGTCTACTGGACGTCAAACCCAAATTAATAATTGGCTTCTGGAATGTAAAAACCATGTTTCAAACGGCCATAACCGCCCAAGTAATTAAAGAAAGGCAGAACTATAAACTGCATATTCTTGGAATCATTGAAAACAGGTGGACAGGGTTTAGACAATCCACGACAGGTACGAGATAAACCATAATATACTCTGCAAGAGACATAACCCTACATTCTGCAGGCGTGGCACTAGTTTTTAAGAAAGGTACGCACAAACATCTCATAGAGTGGCATTCAATTAATGACAAAATTAAGACAGCCCGATTCAATGAGAAACATGCCAAACTTACAATCATCCAATGCTACGCACTGACTAATGAAGCTGAAGACGAAGATAAAGAGGAGACTGCAATAGGTACTAAATAAAGTGCCAGCCTTGGTTATCTATGCATTATGGGAGATCTCAATGCAAAAGTTGGTAACAATAACTAGAAAAGAGAATTATAAATAGGAAAACAAGGCTGTGGTTCAATTGATGACAACAGAGAAAGACTTCTGCTCAGCGAATAGACTTTTAATAAGAGGAACACTTATTTCCTCACAAGAATATACACAAGTTTACGTGGATATCCACAAATGGAAGAGATGTAAACCAGACTGACCATTTTATGGTAAACAGAAAATGGCGTGGGTCTGTACTCGATGTGCGTGTCAAACGGGGGAGCAGATGTGGGCAGCGATCATCACCTTGGTAGTTGCTCTACTACGACTTAAAACTAAAAACAGTGCACAAACAAGCTAAGACACAGACAGCATGCTACAAAGTCAACCTATTGGGAGAAAAATACATTGCCATTAAATTTATAGTAGAACTCAAGAATAGATTTCAAACTCTATCAGGTGACCCAGACACTCCAACTACAATCAGCATTCAAGACAGATGGAACCAGATCAAAGAAACATACAAAACAACCATAAACAACATATAAGGAACCCGGAAACAACATCACAGAGAATGGATCAGCAGTCAAACCATGGACTTTATTACCAAGCAAAAAAGAATAAAGAGCCTAATAAATCTAAATCAGAACGTCAGAAAGACAAACTAATGTTAGAATTTGGCGAACTAAATAAAAACGGTAAAGAAAAGTGTCAGAACTGACAAAAGTAGATTATTGGAAAATCTAGCAGAAACAGCAGAAAATGCTGCTCAAGAACATTATCTACAAACCATACAAAATTACCCAACAAATTTGCAGACACAAAAACAATTACCACAGCATGCCCATCATAGATAACTAAGGCAAACTGCTTACCACAGAACACAAACAAAACATGCAGTGGACTAAACACTTCTCTAACCTCTTGAACAGATCCTGAACATCCCCCAGATATTCAACCAGCCTCTAAGGACCTTGACATTATTTTTAAACCACAAGCAAACTAGAAATCCTTAACGCTATCCACACTTTAAAGAACAACAAAGCACCAGGCAAAGACAAACTGCCAGCAGAACTTCTCTGAGTAGATCCCAACACAACAGCTAGCATTCTAGAACTATTGTTCGAGGATATTTTGGAAAAATAAGTGTTGCCTGATGACTGGACTAAAGGAACAATAGTACAAATACCCAAACAAACAAAAAAGAGATTTAACACACTCTCAGTACCAAGCAATTTTTTTTTTTTTTTTTTTTTTTTTTTTTTTTTTTGTAAAATCATCAAAATGCGGATCATAAAGGGAGTAGATAAATGCCTACAAGTGGAATAAGCGGGATCCAGAAAAGGCAGAGGAACAGCTGAGGATATCTTCACCTCCCCCCCCCCAAAATTTTTTTAGAACAATGCAATGAATGGCAGAGAAATATATATATTAATTTTGTGGACTTTGAGAAAGCTATTGACAGCATCCATAGCGACAGTCTGGAAAATATTACGACATTATAGAATTCCAGAAAGAATGATCAACATAATTGCTCTCTTTTGTAAAGACTTTCCCTGCAGTATTAAAAGTTACAATACATCTTTCCCAGTAAAGACAGGTGAAAGTCAGGGCTGTGTTATGTCATCCCTCCTCTTCAACCTTGTGATTGATCGGATACTAAAGAACACAGTAGACAAGACATCGAGAGGCATACGATGGACTCCATTCACTATACTTGAGGACCTTGATTTTGCAAATGATATGGCACTCCTATCACATAAACATGAACATATACAAGAGAAAAGTAACAGACTACATAGCACCGCAGAAATGGTGGGACTGAGAATAAATACAAGGAAAACTAAAATCATGACAAACAGTCCAAACCAGCAACCAGTGACCTTAAAAAACTAAACACTTGAGAATGCTGAACAGTTCACA